GAGATTAGAAAAACAAGTTAATAAGACCTAATCCAAAAAATAAATAAATAGTGTGTGACATTTTAGTAACAGTGTTGTTACCATCATCAGGCAAAAGTACCGAATTTACAACGCTGTTACAGAAACGTCACACACTATTTATTTAATTAAAAAGGCATATATTGGATCAAAAAATCATTTATTTTACCAATAAGTTTTATAGTTATAAGTTTTAACAGTTTTCAAAACTATCTATTTGTACACTTTAGAATTGTTGAAAATTTTGAGAAGTCCCTCCAACCAGTGACCTACTGTGCAGTACATCATGTCGGAGGAAGAGGTTCAGCAGAAGACCAACCTCTGGAGCACTGTCAATGCTGATTACCTCAAGGCCGTTCAAGGTAACATTGGGGCATTTTGTATCTAATCCTGCATGTGTACACAGGGGAGGGTGCAACAACAACAAAAAATAGTATTTCTGGGTTTTGATAAAATGTTTCTAAATTCATTTATGGGCTTTTTTCTTGCATGGGTATGTGTTCCTACTTTTTTTAAAAGAGACAGTGGCAATTTTGTTCACAATTGGTTATCTCGAGTGTCTTCAATAAAGGTCACTGAAAGGGACAACTTTATTACGTTTTGTCCACATGAGTGTATAAAATCCTCACTTTATGTTTCAATAAATTACTAGATCAACCTTTTCAGGCTTCCCTCTCACACACACACAGTGGATGTAGATTTGTAAACATAGTGTGGGGTGACGTAGTGTGTAAAGCTGCAGTACAGGGCTACTGGAGAAATACTATGTGGGTGCAGAGAAAGAAGAGAGGAAGAGGCTAGAGGAAGAGAAGAATGCCACCAGCTCCGAACCCCCTAAGAAGGTGAGAATTCTACAAGAGGCCGTTAGAGTAGTGTGCCTCAGTACCTTCAAACTTCCAAGTTGCATTATAGCAAGCTGCCACCGTGTGTGTATATCTCTCTTTGATTTTTTTTTCTCTCATTGTACTTTTATTATAAAATAAAACCACAACCTTTCGCAATAAGAAAAAGAAACTTATTGCGAAAGGTTGTGGTTTTATTTTAAAATTTGTAGCGCAATTTTTTCGTTCACTTCAAATTGTACTTTTATGTTGAAAACATGTTATGATGATATAGGATGATTTGAAGAAGAAACAAAAGTTTAACGGTCTTCTATATCTTCTTCTTTCTTATCATATTAGGGTGTCAAGCTTGTAAAGCTTGAGACTTTTTGAAAAAGAGATTTGACAACCATCATGATTGGGTGAAGTAGAATGCATCTGCCTTTGTCATTAAGACTGGAAGCACTACTCAGTGGCAGGCCGACTTAGCTCCAAAAGAAATGGCCACCTCTGACATGAGGAGCAGACGCCATGTGCAGCCGCTCCTAACATGGAGTACAGACATCCTGTATCTCTGGATTAGGAGCCCTTACAGGGTACTATCAGCCGGGCCAGCTGAGCCCAGGTTTTTTTAGTGAGCTTGTTATTGCTCCCCCTCCTCCTTTTTCATCCGGGCTTGGGACTGGCAAAGGCGGAGTTTTATAAAAGAAACTTGTCGCTGTTAAACTTTTGTTTCTTCTTCAAATGATGTCAGGCGATTTCTTCTCTTGTAATATAGGATGATGTTGGCTATATAAATGGGTTTTTAAAGAAAGGTATATACATACAGTAAAACCTGACTTGGGAGTTTCCATTTGGTTCCAAGCAAACAATGTACTCGCAAGGCAGGTCACTCCCCTAAGACAGGATGAATAAAATTGTTTGTACAGTAAAACTACCTCCCTGTAAAGGACAACACCTAATTGCAGAGCCAAAGTGTCCTTTAGGGAGAGGTGTCATCTTACCGGAGAGTTACTAAATAGTAAAAATGATAATTTTGCAAATGAAAACTGTCCTTTATAGAGAGGTGTCCTCTAGTGTGAGTGTTCTATCATGGAGGTTCTACTGTAATAAAAACCTAAATCTGTTACAGAAATATCTCACACTTATTTATTTGGATTAGGTCTTATTACCTTCTGTTTCCAATCTATAATATAAATTATACCTGATCTGTGTTCCAAGTGATGTTGTTACATAAGACAAGGTTTGATTGTGTGTGTATGTAGTTAAGGTGTGGGCGGCCTCCATGTTTGGAGGTTTGTACCACAGAGAGAGTAGTGTGTCCAATTGGACATGTGGTGTCCAGAGGAGGCGGCACCAGAAGAAGGAGTCAGTGGCCCAGGAAGCCCACTCGGCCGGAGAAGCCATAGAGAAGATGCTCCTGTGCAAGAAGATCTCCAGTAAGATCAAGTACGACCTGCTGAAGAAACTGGAGGGAGATGTCCCGGAGGAGATGAACCTCAAGAGGTTGCGGAGCTCCAAGCCCCTGCCCACCTTCAATGAGCAGGCTCTGTCCCAGCTCAAGGGGCTGGTCCACTCTATCATTCAGGACAGGTATTCTCATCCTCTTGCCTGGATATTATAGAAATATATGTTTAAACACAAGGTAATAAGACCAAATAAAAATAAATAGTGTGTGACGTTTCAGTAACAGTGTTGTTACCATCTTCAGACAAAAGTACTGAATGCCGTTGTCCATTCAGTACTTTTGTTTGAAGATGGTAACAACATTGTTGCTGAAACATCACACACTATTTATTTATTTGAATTTGGTCTTATTACCTTGTGTATTATAATATACTAGCCGAATGACCCGGGCAACGCCCGTGTTTTACCCGATTGAATGTTTTGATTCAAATACTATTTGTTACAATTATAAATTGTGGTCATGGCATCTGCCCGGTAAGCGGAAGGTTGTGGGTTCGATTCCCATCCCTTGACACTTTTTTTATTTTATCCATTCTGACCAAAATCTATCCGTGAACTTCACATAGTGAACTTCACACAGACAGAATAAGGCAATTATATAAGTAGATAATCCAATTGTGCCTTATCGAAAAATATTTTTATTAACGCTACTTTTCTCTTAAATATTTATATGATGCATTAGTGCGCCATCTGTTATAAGATATTCAAACTATGATGTGTTGTTGCAGAAATGTGACACACTATTTATATTATTTATTTGTATTTGGTCTTATTACACCTTGTGTTTGTAATCTATAATGTAAATTGTACCTAACCTTGTTGTGGTACTGTGGTAGGAGGTCCACCCAGCTGGCCTGCTCTACCAGCCAAGAGGTAACCACTCACTGGATGCCATAATCCTTCCCTGTGATGTACACATTCTGCTGACCCAGTTGATAGACCTCAACAAGAATCTTCTCTAGGGATACGGAGGAGCTGCATCTGTACTCATGTTAGAATCACAGCAAAGGCTTTCATGTTAGGAACAGCCTCAAATTACAGGCAAAGTCAGACTTTCACCAAAGTGTGCCTGAATCATGGTGCCATGATCAACGAAAGCTGCACCCTTATACCACATTTCATTGGAGAATTTGTGTAATCTTTATGCAAGGGGATAAGAAGCAACAACACATTCTGGATTAGAGATGGAAAAATATAATATGGCCCAATATAATTACATCCTTTTAGCAGCTTCTTTTATAATAAGGTTTTAAACATTATTTATTCAATTGTTGTTTCTAATCCCCTTGTGCAAATATTACACAAAGCTGTGTAATCCCTAGCTGTTTGATGATAAGAAGCAGCCTCTCACAAAGGTCCTGTTTAGTGTATCTATTGCAAGCTCTGTTCTGGAGCTGCAGGTGCCAAGCTACATTTTGGGCAAGTGGGGTGGACTCTATTGTTATTTTCCATCTGCAATTGCTTTTTTTTATTCAAAAGTCCTCAAGTTTTAAATATTTCCCATTGTTATAACTAGGTCTATAGCAACACCAAGATGGTTATAACAATGGCATAGAAGCTGGGCCTTTAGTGTTGATGGTGTTATGGAGAGGTATAACCATAGATTGAATTGGCAATGGGAATGTGTTGTTGTTATCCCCTTGTGTAAAGATTACAAGAATTCCATGAGTTCATGCTCCTCCAGCTGTTTTGGGAGAACAGAATGTTTGGGTATAATAGCAGATGTTATCACATCTGAATTAGAGTTTATACTACTGAATGGTTTATACAGAATTGAACCCTCCCTACCCTGTGGTACACCTATGTACACCTCCAACACTTTGTTGGATGTTTCAGGAGGAGATTCTTTGTGGTCCTGATCCGGCAGAAGGTGAGTTGTAGAATCCAGTAGACATCTCTACACTCTGATAACATTGTAGATTAGCAACAACTCCACATCTTACAGTCCTATTCCCCAACTTCTTTCAATTTCATTTTACCCCAAGATATCAGAAATATTTGGTTGAATCCATGTTGAATTATAGCCAGTTATGATGGTATATCACAACATTCACTGCAAGTGGAAATTTTCAGAAACATTTAGTTGTCATTGGGGTGCCTAATTATTGCCTGTGTTGAATTATATTGGTATAAATTATTATTTTTATTCCTTTCAAAGGGCAGAAAGCTCGTCTAAAGTTTTAAAAAACCTACAAGAGACACTTCACTTGATGATTCTGTTCTTCTTTTATGTGTGTGTGTTGCTCCAGATGATTATTCAACATAAAACCCAATTGTGACCAAAAAGAACTTTGTTGCAGTGGTGCAAGTGGTGACTTCAGACCATGAGGAACTGTCCGCGCAAGACATCCTGAAGAAACACAGAGGTGAGAGTGTGTACAGCAGCATATAGCCTGGGTAGCATGAGCAACTGGTGACAAGTGTTATTTAACATGTCTGGAAGGAGAAAGAGCTCTGTTTGAAATCAGCAAATACAGTAGAACTTACGCTATACACCTCTATACAAAGTCACTTCCTAAAAATTACCAGTTTTACTAATTAGCTGCTCTCTGGTAAAAGGACACCTCTCTCTCTCTAAAGGATACTTTATCAGGAGATGCCTTTTTTTACTTAATTTATCCACCTGATCTCAGTACAATTTTACTTTTGTACTATTTTTTTCCCTTTAATGTTTTGTTAATAAATAAAATAAGGTGTCATAAGTGGGATTCGAACCCATGCCTTCATCAGTGGACCAGAATATTTCAACTCCCGTTATGGAATAAGAATTACTCTTGAGTCTCTTGGTGCTGTAGACCACTCAGCCATCCTGACTAAGGCATCAAGATGCTCAAGAGTAAATATTATCCAGTAGCAGGAGTTGAGTTTTCTGGTTTAATGATGTAGGTTTGAACCCTACATTTCTGACACAGACATCAGACTGAATGATGGTTGTTACTGACACATCACACACTATTTACTTTTTTGGAGATTTGGTCTTATTACCTTGTGTTTCTGTACAATCTATAATCCAAATCTTATCTGTGTTTATAAACATACACAATATCTATATTAAATAATAAGGCACAATTTGGATTATAAATTATAAACATAAGTTAATAAGACCAAATCCAAATAAATAAATAGTTTATGATGTTTCGGTAACAGCGTTGTTACCATCTTCAGATTGATTCAGCACTTTTGTCTGAAGATGGCAACAATGCTGTTACCAAAACATTATAATCTATTTATTTATTTGGATTTGGTCTTATTACCTTGTATCTATATTAAAAGTAATGTTTATTTTTTACTCTTCAAAACCATGATAATTATTTGAGCCTATTTCATGCCAAGGATATTCATTTTTTTGACTTGTAACTTGTCCTAGGGGAAGCCATTGACGAAGATTCCAGTTACGAGGAAGAAGAGGACGGATATTCTTCCGACGAGTAACTTAGTTGGGTCTAACTTGGGCCAATGGGAGACGCACAACAAATCCAATGATCTCATCTATACACCTGTAGCAATACATGGCTGGCTACCTACTCTATATGTATATAGTAAACACACCCCCTTCTATATTCTCTCTCTCTATATATATGCAAATATTGGTAAACCCTACATACACACACTTTTAATCCTATATATATATATATGACATTCTATTTTTTATATAGTCCTTTTATTATATTGCCTTATATTGACACTGTATATATATCTCTACAGAGAGGGCATTGTGAATAATGCCAATGAAATATGCAATTTTGAGAGAAAAAAGTCCATTTGTTATTTGTCATTTTTATTGTAAAATAAAATAATTATACCACATATATATATATAGAATATTGCTCTATTATAATTTTTCTTAATGAATTAATTAGATGGATATATAATTTTTTTTGAGTGAAACAGACAGAAATGGATATGTTTACGTACGTAATATTACTTAATGTTTTCCATAGTTTAACACAGCAACAACAAACAAAAAGGTTTCCGTTATGTAATTATACGACGATATGTAAATATATTCCCGGCATCTATGTAATAATATCTTGTAAGAGCTTTTTTTTTTAACAAAGATTTTTGGCTTTTAGTTTTTTAGCTTTAGTTGTAGTTTAGATGACTTCACTGCCTTTCTTGGTTGCTCTTTTATCTCTTTGTTTGAATCAGTAACTTCACTATGAACTATCCAATAAAGTACAAATATATTCACATTTACTTTCTGTGTGTGTGTTGTTTTTACTTAATACATTGTATAGCAAATTACATTAAATTGTTTTTATTATTATAAATATATATATCGTAATTTAAACAAAGATATGTAAGTAATAAAGTATGACGTCTTTTCTAGTCGTCTCAAAGTGACACCAGTTTGCCACCGGACCCCAGGGGAGGGGAGGATGACCCACATAAGACTGACCAATGAGCATCAACACCCGGGGGATCCAGAGAGGGACAAAAAGGGGCGTTGGCCCGGATGTTGACAGTTAGGTTCTGGTGGATATTTTCGAACAGGCCCGCTCAGTTCTAGGTCCATTATCATCTCATGACGGTCCCCGCGGCTTCAGGCTGGACGCCGAGCTTTCTTCTGTTAATCCTCAAATTCCCCCTGGTCCTGGTGCCACTTGAGACGTACTGGGAGAGCGTCTTTTGATCACAAACTTTGTCCTTACTGTCCCGTGCGGACTTCCCACTCTGCACGCCTTGCCACTCAACCCCGACTGCTTCCAACTCACTTGTTGTCTTACCTGGGTTTATGACATATATACAAGGTATGTCCCATAAGTTCCTGGACTGGGTCCATAAAAAAAAAGGTAAGATATTTAAAAAAACTTTTTTTTAAACTTTTCAAAGTAATCCCCCCTTGCTTCAACGCACCAGCGCCATTGTTTCTTCCAATTGTCGAAACAGTTTTTATAGGCCTCTTTTGGAATGCTCTTCAATGCCAACAGCGATTTTTCTATTATGTCATCCCTGGTGTCAAAATGTCTTCCTTTTAGAACTGCTTTAAGTTTGGGGAACAGGGAAAAGTCATTTGGTGTGATGTCTGGGGAATAGAGTGGTTGAGGTAAGATTTGTGTGCCGTTTTTGGCCAAAAAACTTGTCACCAAGTGCGCTGTGTGAGGGCGGGCATTGTTATGGTGTAAGATCCAGTCACCATTAGTCCATTTTTCTGGCCTTTATTTCAAATCGCTTCCCTTAGATGGCGAAGAATGCCCAAAGACATTTCCTTAATAACTGTTTGGCCTGCAGGAAGATACTCGTGATGAACAATGCCCTTGTTACCTAAAAAAGCGACCAGCAACACCTTGTTTCTGGATTTCAATATCCTGGATTTTTTGGGTCTAGGCTCACCGTGACCTCTCCACTCGGCAGATTGACGCTTGGTTTCAGGGTCATAGCCTTAGACCCTTGTCTCATCGCCTGTGATTATCTTGTCTTTCCATTCCGGATCCGTTCTTGTCATTTCCAACATGTCCTCACAGGTTGCAAGCCGACACAGTTTTTAATCATTAGTGAGGAATCTTGGGATGAATTTTGCAGGAGTCTTTTTGAGCTTCAAATCTTCGGTTACGATCCTTCCAATCGTTGTTTTAGAGATGCCTGTGTCTTGCTCTAGCTCCAGCAAAGTGGTTCGAGGATTTTCTTTTATCGAATTGGTGATTTTTTTGCACATTTTCATCAGTCCTTTGAAATTTTGGGCGTCCTTGACGAGGATCATCTTCAATGGAAATTCTGCCAGCTTTAAATCTAGAATGCCATTCAAAAACAGTTGTTCTCTTTGGGGCGTCATTGGTGAATGCTTTATTAAGCATTTCAAAAGTTTCGGTTGCTGATATTTGAAGTTTCACACAAAATTCTATGCAAATCCTCTGCTTCAATTTTTGTTCCATCGTAAAACCGCCGCAGCGCTAGGTGTAAGCTTTAAATAAATTAAAATGACCTTGGCGTGCGTGCACGTACCGCCTCGATATTGGTACCACCATTGTTGCCAGATATTTTTTCTATAATAAACAGTCAAATTTATTTATTTTTTACCTTGTATATATCTAAAGAGACAAAGGTCGTCTCTCCCATCAAAATAGACGTCAAAACCTGACTGTCGCCGTTAACTAGCGGCCTCGGGTCAGTGACAAAACCGCTAGTTAGCGCCGACGGTCAATAGATGGCGCCAGGTTTTGACGTCTATTTTGACGGGAGAGGCGACCTTTGTCTCTTTAGATCAATATCCTCCCGGCAAAATTTCCATCTATATATATATATATATATATATATATTAAAAGATTCACAAATGGATTTATCAACTACAAGATACCACAAGAGAAAAGAAAAGACTTACCTTGACTTGAAGTAATTCTCTATTCCCTGGTACACTCTCAAGTTAAGTCTAGATGAAAGCCACATGTGCTGAAGAAAATAACGCAAAGATTTGTGGTTAAAAAAAGAAAGAAACTAAAGAAACCATCCATTTATTTGACATACCATTGAGTGGTGACAGTAATAAATTATCAACTCCCCCTATGAAGTAAGTGTTGCCATTTGTCTATAAACATTTGTATAATAATTTATTATATATCACAGTAGTTATCGCTTTGGTGCTTCTGTGGTATCGTCAGAGAAGCCCTTCCTGAACTCTGAATATGTGACGTAGCCATCTTTGTTTTCATCAAACTCGAAGAAGGTGTCCACAGCATCTGGAACAACATGCCATGGGGTTATATACTGTAGAGCTGTGGATGGAATAGAAGCTTCACTCCCTCTGTGTACTGTAGATAAAACCCACTTCTACGTAGTACACATGGCCATGGTAATCATGTAGAGTGATCACTGTGTCTACACAGGTAGTAAGCATCTTGACTTAGCAGTGTCTTAATAAATACCATGTGAATACTACAATAGTATCTATAAGTCTTGAGTTTTACAGTTTCCTCATAACACCATGGAATTATATACTGTAGTATGCCACATACACGGGTAACGTTGTTGTTGTTGTTTCTTATCCCCTTGTGCAAAGATTACACGAATTCCAGTGGTTATATTATGTAGCACAATGGATGGAAGAGAAACTCTTCAGCCTTCCCTCCCTCTGTGTACTGTAGATAAAACCCCGACGACCTCTACTGAGTACACATGGCCATGATAATCATGAGTAGTCACTGTTTCTACACAGGTAGAAAGCACTTCAACTTGGCAGTGTCTTAATCAATACAATGTGAATACCATAATATATATAAGTCTGAGTTTTAAAGTTTCCTCATAAGAGCATATGAACAAAGAAATATAACTCCGCCTTTGCCGGTCCCAAGCCCGGATGAAAAAGGAGAAGGGGGAGCAGTAACAAGCTCACTAAAAAACCTGGGCTCAGCTGGCCCGGCTGATAGTACCCTGTAAGGGCTCCTAATCCAGGGATACAGGATGAACAGCGTTTGTACTCCATGTTAGGAGCGGCTGCACATGGCGTCTGTTCCTCATGTCAGAGGCGGCCATTTCTTTTGGAGCTAAGTCGGCCTGCCACTGAGTAGTGCTCCCAGTCTTAATGACAAAGGCAGACGCATTATACTTAACCCAGTCATGATGGTTGTCAAACAGACACCATCAAGGGTCACAACTTGATACCCTAATATGATTGAGTGGAGATAAGAAAGAAGAAGAAGAAGACAAAGAAATATAGATAACCCAGGTTCCTGGAGCGCAGAACACCAAGTACTAACAACTAGGTAAACCAGGGTGTCCTGGAGCTCATCCATAGATCTCCAAATACCCAGTTTGTTCTATAATTTGAGAATATGACTTGATGGCCTTAATGAACCAGTTCACCAAGTGCATCCAGGCTG